CTCTCTCCAGCACATGGCCCAGATGGAGTTAAAGTGTGCTAAGACGCGAGGATCTAAAGACATTTTTGTATGATGTCAGAATAACCACAGTCACATGTTTATGCCCTTCCTAATGAGACACTGGAAAGTCATCAGTTACATCTGGCAACAGCCGGTCCTGGTGTCCTGGTGCCATTTTAACACAAGCAACTACATTTGCTATTCGAAAGAATGACATTTGTACTTTGCAATGCATCCATGGACGTTTATAATTTGTGTGCCACAGACACGGGCAGAGTCAGAATGGCATTTGTGCATATACCTAAGCCGGCACGAGCTCCATTCATTTTACGAGTGCATTCAAAAGTCCACAGCGGCTAAACTAGACTGGTCCAAAAAAATACTCCCCTCAGCATTGACACACATCTGAACGCTATACGTTGGGCTAAGAGCCGACTTTGGACCATACTGTAAAGCCGTTTTCGAGAGGAAAGAAGGCGACATATGCCCCCACAGACAAGGAGTGAGATTGCAACCGTGTCAGCGCACGGGCTCAGGGACCTTTTTGAGCCGGGACTGAACACATTGTGTCATAATTCATTCTTACACCAATATTTGTCATTTATTCCAGTACAAAATATTCAAATTCACAATTATTCTGAACTACTGCACTTCTGCATGCCGTCTTTATAGTCTGACCAGACCAGCATGTTTTTGGGGGACACCCGAGCACCTGGAGGGAACCTCCACAGACACAGGGAGAACATGCAGATACAGTAAGTCCCCAGTATTGCCCTCACAGCCACCACACCCTTTGGATTCCCCAGTTTACTCAGATTGTATGTAATGGAAAAGATGGCAGTATATCTTCCAGGACAAGACAAGGCAAGGCAAGTTTATTTGTATAGCACAATTCATTCAAGTGCCGAACAAAGTGCTAAACAAATTGCTGAACAAAGTGCTGAACAAAGTGCTGAACAAAGTGTTGAACAACCGCAATGCTTCCATCATCTATCAGAGGGACCACAAGTCTTTGATAGCTTCAGGTAAAGTTGGCCACAATTTACAACCATCTTTTACTGTGATCACTCCCTGCAGTCGTCCTTATCTGGGACAACATATTGGACCAGTTAAACCTAATGGCCCATTTCTTTGTAGCATTAATGAGGTAAGAGGACTATGTGTTGCCGTCTTCACATCCTCCCCCCTCATCTCAGGTCAACCGTGTGATAAAACACTGGCGAGTTAGTCCGGCCATGATCTCATGTGTTGTTCTGCACTTTTTTCCTTCCTCCTATCTTCTCACAGAAACGAAAGGCTGAGCAATTGTCTTGTATTTCTCAGCCACGAGGTCCCAGTGGAGGTGTCAGTCAGTCAAAAGTTAAGCAGTGTGACGGAAGAGAAGGTTTTGTTGGAGATAGACGCTAATCACACAGAAACACAGGCGCATAATGTAAACACACCTGTGTCCTGAACCAGGGCCAGGGCTGAGAGGATGTTACTCTCACTGCTGGTTCCCATTGTCCAATCATTTACACCAGATTTGGTTGAGTGAAAATCCAAACTCAACTCCAGATTTCCGTAATTCAAAATCCAATCAGCAAGTTCATTTTGATGTGGTGTTTATATTTAATTATCTTTCCTTGTGCGTTTCTCAGGGGGGAGTCCAAGTGAATAAAGTAAAGCATAATATAACAGCATATTTCCAAGTACTTTCACAAATACTCAAATACTTTCACAAATACTCAAATGAGTCCATACAACTGTAAGTGAGTTAATGTTTATTCATACTGTATAGCGCATTTCACAGACCAAGGTCACCCAAAGCGCTTTACAATGTTTTACGAGTGATGACAGAAGCTTGAACACTCTGGCACGTCAAAGCCTTCCGACCGTCATGCATTCACTCCCCCACTGACACAAGAAGAACATGCAAACTCCACACAGAAAGGCCAGGTCTGTAGGTGGAATTAAACCCAGGACCTTCTTGCTGCGAAGCACAAGCTCTAATTGCTGAGCAACTGTGCCAGCCAGAAAAAAACAGACATAGAAAGAGGCTTGAGGGCATATGTTCAGATCCAAAGTACTATTTTTAGGACAACAAAGCTGTTAAGTATTTTCATACAAATATTGGTTACAACATAATTATGTATTTTATGTTGTTGCTGTCTGGGGCATCTTATTGCTCCAGTTACACCTAACGTCATGAAGCCATAAACCACAGGGCATGAGGCTGAGAGCAGATAAAAATGAGCCAAAGAAGTCCTTCCCTTATAGACTTGGAGGTCTTCTTGTTCTAATGACAATGATTAATTTGAGAACTGAAATAAATGCACACAGTCAAATGGAGACAAATTATTATTCTCATCCTAAAAACAAAGCCATTTAAACTTTTTTTCCAATCATACGGGATCACATCATTCATTTTTATAGCTGCCAAATCCCCTCTTGTGAGCCATCTGAGATTCTAAAGATAACAGTGAGAATGTTTTGGAGTGAGAAAATACCCTGTGCTGTCAGTCACAGCGAGCAAACATCTGCTCTTCATTGAACACTCGTCTTCTATCTCTGTATCTTTCACAGCGGGCACACACAGACCAGCTCCGTCTCTCCATAGGGACTCCGTAACATAAGCCAGTCATGTACAGTCATCTAATATTGCATGTAGGCCAATGATGAATGTCAAAACTTAAGAAGAGCCCTGACAACAAGATAAGATGGACCGTGGGGAGTGTTGAAGCCCTGGACTTGGTTTGGGATGAGGTCAGGATAATTAGTGACGGGACACTGGATCCAGCTGGAGGTCAGAGGCTACTTGGTCAATGTCCTCCAGGCTTTGTGTTGGAAGGCGAGCAGGACATAACTAAATGCAGGATATACTGATTCAGATTATGCAACTAGTTTTACTGAAAATTAATATTCATGCCGATGGACAGAATCGCAAAAATAAAATGCAATCATCTAAAAGTAAGCAATGATTGTCTGGTATGTGGGAAGGTCCCAAGGAAATAAAAAGTGACTTAAAAATGTACATGAAAAAAGTGACTCTGTCCTAAACAAACCAATTTTTACATTTTTGACAACAGTGCTGATAGATTTAGTGTCAAACTGAGTCATAACAGGTTTTGCTTTAAAAGGTAACCTTAAGCCTGTTCTCAGCTCTGCAATCTTTGATTAGACCAGACGGAGAACTGAGAATCTTCCCTTCTGTATTTGAACAAACAAAGCGCAGAGGGCCCAGGCTGTCAAGGCAACCCCAGGGCAGCTGTGGCAACAGAAGCTGCACTGATTACGGAATAAACAATGAATCCACACTTTAAAGAGACTTTTTGACTTTATGTTTGTGAAAAGTGCAACAGCCTTCAATGAGCTTGCTTATGTTTTTGTTTGTGAATGTGATCTGGGACTTTGGCACAGCGTTCATTATCAACACTCTTGGCCATAATGCACCAGTTATCTATCAAATGTAATCACGATTTGACTGTGTTGCCTTCTTGGACACTAGGATGTAAAACAAAATGAGATGTACGATCCCACAGAATAGAAATGAGCAAACCACATGCTTATGCCATGTTTTCGAAATGAAGCAAAGTAAGTCCCTGTCCTGCTTTGAAGATGCTCTTTTGGGGTTTGTTGCAGAGATGAAGGGGAAGAGGAAACCCTCCCAGTGTGCATTGGCTTTGTGAAGGTTTGTTTAGAAAGACAATTTGACATGTCTTTGGTGCATTTGGCATTGGTACAAGTTCAGAGTCCTGAGGAACCACAACAACAACCCCTTGATCATTTACTGCCACCCACTGCACTCAGATAAGTTACTTTGCCCCCTGCTGCAGCCTCCTTTTAGCCAGATAGGAGCTCTTTCCCTGGCAGACTCTAGCTTTGCCCTAAGGTCCAAGCTAAACACATAACAAGGCCTATACACACAACTAGCATGTGTCATTGGCCCTGGATCACAGGACATTAGCACTCTGGTTAAAACAAACGTTTAACTGTGTTGATTTGAGGCCATTCATCTACGACAGAATAAAGCTTGGACCAACTCATTACAACTACATTACTCACTGCTGTGTTATTTAAAACAAAATTACAATAATTAAAAATACATTGGCATCTTTTGGCTTTGACTTTGATCCGTCTTGGCTAACACTGACACATTAACGACTAAACAACATGCACTAACTCATTTTTTCACTATATTTCCTAATGGTTGCCAGGTGTCCTGTGTGATTCTTTAGAGTTGGACTGAGCAGGTTAGCACGCTTCTCTCCATCTTGTTATAATGAACACTTATAGTTGCACCCATCTGCACACTGAAAGAAAATAACTTTTGTCTGTAAAGTTTTGGTCTGTAACATGAGTGGAACATTTGTATGTATTTTTAAAAAACTGTAAGGAAAACTGGAGGGACTGTTGGAATGTGTGCATAGAGGATGTGATGAAAGAAAATCAAAACACCATTCAGTTTTGAGATGATCTGTAGTGTTGGCGAGGTGTCTATGTTTACAATACTTAAAACAAAATTCCAGAACAGTGGACATGTAAAACTGGTGGTGCGGCAAAATGGGAATGATCAGTGCAATGGAGTCTTGAATATAGGAAAATATATCACTCGTAAAACTCTTTTACAGGCTTTGTGAAGTGATGACTTGAGCTCTTGGAAGAGCATTGTCCCTGCAGTGACCAGGAAGACGACTTAAGAGTGGATGGGCCCTTTTTGCTGCAAGGTCTCCCTCTGGAGTCAGAAAGTAATGTGTTTATTTCAAAAGGAACAGTTACGTTAAATATGATGCATTAAGAACAATAACTAACAAAGTGCGCCTTTTATGTTAGCCATATATCCTAGTTTCCTTGCAGCTGTTTGACTGGATGTTTGGATGGCGTAGAGGCCAGGGTCACTCTCTTACGTCACAGAGTATCTTCGTGGTGACAGACAGGAAGTCCTGTTTACCTGAATGCCTTTGAGGTCGCCAGGTCATGACCTGGTCTCCCGTCATGTCCAACTGCGCCAGATTAGCTCTGTGTCACTGCAGAGCGTTGCTACTGAACTCCCGCAGCTTTTTCTGTGAGTGGCGTTTCCCTTTAGCTTTGTCGAAGTCGCTGAAGCCAGTTGGCGCTATGATGCATGGATTAGAAGTGTCCTGCTGCGTCCCTGTATAGAGGAGCATTTTGGAGTTGTCAGTCAGTCTCAGTGAGGCTCAGCAGGGTCGCGTGTGCACAAACACATTCACCACATCAGCCCACACCTGCTTTAGGTTTGGAAGGGCAGAGATCAGGCAAAGATGGATTCTTATCCAAGGTCATGCATAAGGCAGGAGTGTAGAGCGAGGACTGTAGCTCTGCAAATCACAGCACGTCTCAGCTTCAGCATCGGGTTGATGGACACTGCTCATTTAGGTTTTTCCCAGTTGGAGATTTTTCTAACTCTGCAATCATCAACTGATCAGTGCCCCTGAGAGGACCCATAAACTTGTCTGAAATGTTGACCATTTCTTTCAGCGACAGACACCTTGCTGTTCGTCTTTATATAGACAGCAATAGTGGCACCAATCATTGTAGTGAAACTGCAACAACTGTTCGATGACTTCATGTCACTTATTAACATTTACGGTTTAAAAACTAGATACTTGTCACATCTAGGTGGGACATTTACGTGAGAGAAGCCTGTGGTGTCTTGATGTCTTCTACTCAGTTATTTTTGTTATTGTCCGTTATTATATTTGTAAGACCGGAAGCATGCACACAATGCTTTAAATAGAAGCATGATGAGGAAAGGCCTTTTAGAAGATGGATGGGAAGTTAGATGGATTCAGGTTTGGTTGAGAGGACAGAAATTCTGTATTGATGGATCATAGGATTATAGGCAAGGCAAGTATATTTGTATAGCACAATTCATACACAAATTAACTCAAAGTGCTGAACAAGATAGCATTAAAATCTAAAATAATCACAGTACATTAAAAAGAAAGACAAAAATATAAAATCCCTCAGTTGTATGCACAGCTAAACAGAACTTTAAACATTGTCAGAGAGGAGGCCTGTCTCACACTTTCAGGTTGATTGTTCCAGATTTTAGCAGCATAAATCTGAAAAGCTGCCTCCACATGTTTAGTTCTGACTCTGGGCACTAACAGGAGTCCGGGCTGGTTCATATGGGACTAGCATGTCACATGGCCGCACAGTTTGGTGCTGCCATGGAGAGACTTGTACACACACACATACAGTATATGTATATATATACTCACCTTTGGCCCTCCGCGGGCGGTTATCCCTCTCTAAGCTTGGGTCCTCTACCAGAGGCCAGGGAGCTTGAGGGTTCTGCGCAGTATCTTTGCTGTTCCTAGCACTGCACATTTCTGGACCGAGATGTCCGAGGTTGTTCCGGGGATCCGCTGTAACCACTCATCTAGCTTCGGGGTCACTGCCCCGAGTGCACCGATCACCACGGGCACTACTGTCACCTTTACCCTCCAGGCCCTCTCCAGCTCCTCTCTGAGACCTTGGTATTTCTCAAGCTTTTCATGTTCTTTTTTCCGGATGTTACCATCGCTTGGAATTGCCACGTCCACCACCACGGCTGTCCTCTGCCCTTTGTCTACCACCACGATGTCAGGTTGGTTTGCCATTACCATTCGGTCGGTCTGTATCTGGAAGTCCCACAGGATCTTCGCACGCTCATTCTCCACCACCTTTGGAGGAGTTTCCCACTTAGACCTTGGGGTTTCCAGCCCATACTCTCCACAGATGTTTCTGTACACTATGCCAGCCACTTGGTTATGGCGTTCCATGTAGGCCTTCCCTGCCAGCATCTTGCACCCTGCAGTTATGTGTTGGATCGTCTCAGGTGCCTCTTTGCACAACCGACACCTTGGGTCTTGTCTGGTGTGGTATATCTGGGCCTCTATCGCTCTGGTGCTCAGGGCCTGTTCCTGTGCAGCCATGATGAGTGCCTCTGTGCTGTCCTGTAGGCCAGCCCTTTCTAGCCATTGGTAGGACTTCTTGAGATCAGCCACTTCTGTTATGCTCCGGTGGTACATGCCGTGTAGGGGCTTGTTCTCCCATGATGGGCTCTCCTCCAGCACCTCCTCATCTCGCCACTGCCTGAGACATTCACTGAGTACGTCATCCGTTTTGGCCTTCTCCATGATGTAGTTATGGAGTTTGGATGTTTCGTCCTGGACAGTGGCTCTCACACTCACTAGTCCTCGGCCTCCTTCTTTACGGCTTACGTACAGTCTCAGGGTGCTGGATTTGGGATGGAACCCGCCATGCATGGTAAGGAGCTTTCGAGTTTTAACATCCGTGGTCTGAATCTCTTCCTTTGGCCACCTGATTATTCCTGCAGGGTATCTGATCACTGGCAGGGCGTAGCTGTTAATTGCCCGGGCCTTGTTCTTGCCATTGAGCCGGCTTCTTAGGACCTGCCTTACTCGCTGGAGGTATTTGGCAGTTGCCGCTTTCCTCGTCACCTGTTCGAGGTTGCCATTTGCCTGTGGTATACCGAGATACTTGTAACTGTCCTCAACGTCTGCTATTGTTCCCTCTGGGAGTGAGATCCCTTCTGTGTGGACTACCTTGCCTCTCCGAGTCACCATCCTGCTACATTTCTCGAGCCCGAATGACATCCCGATGTCATGGCTGTAGATCCTGGTTGTTTGGATCAGAGAGTCGATGTCTCTCTCGCTCTTGGCGTACAGCTTGATGTCATCCATGTAGAGGAGGTGACTGATCTTTGCTCCGTTCCTGAGGCGGTATCCATAGCCAGTCTGGTCAATTACTTGGCTTAGAGGGTTGAGGCCTATGCAGAACAGTAGTGGGGACAGAGCATCTCCTTGGTAGATACCACATTTGATGGTCACTTGTGCGAGCGGCTTGCCATTTGCCACAAGGGTGGTCTTCCACATTCCCATCGAGTTTGCAACGAAGTCCCTTAGAGCCCTGTTGATATTGTACAACTTCAAGCATTCCATGATCCATGTGTGTGGCATTGAGTCGTAGGCTTTCTGGTAATCAATCCAGGCTGTGCACAGGTTGGTGTGTCGTGACCGGCAGTCTTGGGCGACTGTTCTGTCAACCAGGAGCTGGTGTTTGGCTCCTCTGGTGTCCCTACCAATGCCCTTCTGTGCTGTGCTCATGAATTGTTCCATATGCCCACTTATCTTAGCCGCAATGATGCCTGACATGAGCTTCCATGTTATGGAGAGACAGGTTATTGGCCGGTAGTTGGAGGGGACTGCACCCTTGACAGGGTCCTTCATGATCAGGACCGTTCGCCCTTCGGTTAGCCATTCTGGGTGAGTCCCATCTCTCAGCAGCTGGTTCATTTGTGCTGCTAGGCGCTCATGGAGTGATGTGAGTGTCCTTAGCCAGTAGGCATGGACCATATCAGGGCCAGGTGCTGTCCAGTTTTTCATACCTGAGACTCTTTCTCGGATGTCTGCCTCTGTGATGGTAACTGAGTTCTGTTCTGGGAGGTGGCTGTGCTCCTCTCTCAGGGACACCAGCCATTGTGCACTTCTGTTATGTGCTGCATCCTTTTCCCATATGTTCCTCCAGAACTGTTCAGTTTCCAGCCTCGGTGGATCTGCTCCCCTGTTGTTACCCTGCCACTGAGCGTACACCTTCGCAGGTTGTGTTGCGAACAGCCTGTTCACCCTTCTGGCTTCATTCTCTTTAGTGTACCTCTGTAGGCGGCTGGCCAGGGCTTGGAGCCTTTGTTTGGCAGTTTCGAGTGCTTCAGGTATGGTCATCTGGCTGTACTTTCTGGGTACTGGTCTTTTCATTGCACCTCTCTGGGCCTCTGTTAATTGACTCACTTCTCTCCGAGCCGCCTTGATCTTAGCCTCCAACCGTCTTTTCCATGGTGGGTATTGTCCATGGCTCCCATTGTTGCTCTTATAGCCAAGCATCTCTAGGATCACTGCTGCTGAAGTGTATATCAGCTCATTGGTTTCAGTGATTGTGGTGGTAGGTATTGCCCTCACTGCTGCATTCACGCTTTCTATGAGATCCTTAGGTGGTACTTCACACAACCGCTGTAACCGGTGTCTTTGCCCTGTGCCCATTCTAGCCATGATCTTAGCTTTCAGGTCAGTCGCTGCCTCGTTCAGCGTTATCGGTTCCATTGGGGCTATGTACCCAATATCTGGTTGGGGAGTTGCAATTGGTGGGATCTCCCCTCTGACCTCAGCAACTGTGGCATCATACATGTGTTGTACTTCATCAATCTCAATCGATATATATATATCATATATATATATATATATATATATAAATATATATATATATTTGAATTTAAAAGTTCACTCTTTAACCATTCTAACACCGAACGCTGAACAAAAGCAACAAATGAGAACGAGGCTTCCATATATTTCCTATACACTCCTTCATTGCAACAACAAAAAAAGAAGAAGAGATCTTTTATTTGTCCCACTGTGGGGAAATTCCAGTGTTGCATAGTTAAAGGACAATGGAATTAAGAAGCTAAAAATGGGACAAAATAATTATCTCAAACCACAGTCCATTCATATATGTTTGATTGTTTAATTTTGTGTTGTGCTTTTTGATCATCTCCATGTCACTGCTAGTGTTCATGCTTTGTTTACTTGCCAAAGTTTCATAATTCCACATAAGAGGTCTGGGTCAGACTTGTTCCTTATCAGACGACATCCTGCTACATCCTTTATTAAAATAGCCTCTATTCATATGCATTTCCTCATTGTTATTGTTGGAACTCTGAAAGGTACTTGGAAGTAGATATTACCTGGATATGAATCTAAATTTAGCTAATGTGGAAAAACATGCAACTGTAAATCCATCCAATCAAATGTCCCACTAAAAGTTGGTTTGATGGATGTGTTAATACAGGGCTCATGTCTCTCGGTTCAAGTGTTGCCATGTGTAAATGGATTTTTAGCTTTTTAACTGACAGATCTCAGAGAGTGAAAATCAATGACTGTTTTTCTGATGTTTTTTTCTGTGAGCACGGGTTCTCCTCAGGGATGTATTTTGAGTCCTTTGCTCTTTACTTTGTACGCTCACAATTGTGTGTCCTCCTCTGACTCAAACTTGATCATCAAATATGCTGATGACACCACCATCATCGGTCTCATCAGTGACAATGATGAATCCTCTTATAGAGCAGAGATACAAAATGTGGTTCAGTGGAGTAAAACTAACAACCTCCAGTTGAACGCATCCAAAACATGTGAACTGGTCTACGACTTCAGTTGCAATAGTTCTCATTTGCCTGTCGTAATCGACAACTCCCAGGTGCAGATTGTAGAGGAGTGCAAGTTTCTGGGTTTAACTCTGTCTAACGACCTGAAATGGGTTAAAAACACTGACCGAGTCGTTAAGAAAGCTCGTCAGCGTCTCTACTTTCTGCGTAACCTTAGAGAATTTACCACTAACTCTAAGATTCTGCTTAACTTTTATCGCTGCACCATTGAGAGTTTACTTGTTGGTTCTGTGTCTGTGTGGTTTGGAAACATCACAGATAAAGAAAAGAGATCTTTAAACAAGGTGCTCCGCTCTGCAAAGAGGACCGTGGGCTGTGAGCTTCCTGTTCTGGAGGTTCTTTATAAATCCAGACTTTTAAACAAAGCTCTTAGGATTATCAATGACTCTTCTGGCCACCCTGGGAAAGCCATGTTCCAGCTTCTTCCCTCTGGCAGAAGATATCGTTCTCTGAGATGCAGGACATCTCGTTACGCTAACAGTTTTTATCCACAAGCTGTTATCAGTTTGAACAGAGCACTTTCATGATTTGCACTTGTTTTGAAACTGTTTTAGTCGATCGATTTCACAGTGACATTTGTTTACTGTTTTATTTGTTTTATTTTTGTCTTTTAATGTTGTTTTATATCTGTATTTGTCTGTGCACACTGGTGACTTTTGCTAATGTAATCCTATGTGGTGTTTTTACTGCAAATGGCAAATAAACTGAATCTGAATCTGAAGGGCATCGGGAGTTGGTCCTTAGTTATGGACATATTAGCAGCAAAATACAAAATATCTTTTTCATTAGAAATATTTATATCAAGGAACAGGCTTTTTACTCAATATCAGTTTTAAAACAGCATTAAGGATCATGTAATTGTTGGACGCAACATTTATTGCCATAGGAGTAACGTGATCCCCTTTCAGTTTGAACTGAACAACTCTCAATGATGAAATGCTTTCACATCATTGCACTGTAAATGCAGCAATAAAGTCAAAGTGATCTGGAGCATTACATCATTACTGTGAGAAACCCACAGACAGCTTCTATGGGCCTCGGGGGTAGCCTTGTATCCCAAAAATACTGTGCACAAGACCATGGGTTACTGTGAGCAGAGGTGAGGCCTGCCAAA